CAAAACTGGAGGTATCACAATTCCAGACTTCAGGGGCACCTGAGTGGCTCAGTGGGTTGGGCGTCCGACTTTGGCTCAGGTCATGATCCCACGGTTTGTGTGTTCGAGCCCCACGTTGGGCTCTGTGTTGACAGCTAGCTCAGAGCCTGGAGGCTGCTTCAGATTCTGTGTCTCCCTCTCTCTCTGACCCTCCCCTGCTCACGCTGTCTCTGTATCTGTCTCTCTCTCAGAAATAAATTTTTTAAAAAATTAAAAAAAAAAACAAATCCAGACTTCAAGCTGTATTACAAAGCTGTAATCATCAAGACAGTCTGGTACTAGCACAAAAATAGATGTAGATCAATGAAACAGAACAGAGAACCCAGAAATGGACCCTCAAATATATGGTCAACTAATCTCTGGCAAAGCAGGAAAGATTATCCACTGGAAAAAAAGACAGTTTCTTCAGCAAATGGTGTTGGGAAAACTGGACAGCGACATGCAGAAGAATGAATCTGGAGCCCTTACCACATACACAAAAATAAACTCAAAATGGATGAAAGAACTAAATGTAAGACAGGAAGCCATGAAAATCCTAGAGGAGAAAACAGGTAACAATCTCTTTGACCTCAGCCACAGCAACTTCTTATTAGACATGTCTCCGGAGGCAAGGGGAAAAAAGCTAAATTAACTGAGCTCATCAAGATAAAAAGCTTCTGCACAGCAAAGGAAACAATCAGCAAAACTAAAAGGTAACTGATGGAATGGGAGAAGATTTTGCAAATGACATATCCAATAAACGGTTAGTATTCAGAATCTATAAAGAACTTATCAAATTCAACACCTCAAAAACATAATCCAGTGAAAAAATGGTCAGAAGACATGAATAGAGACTTTTCCAAAGAAGACATCCAAATGACTAACAGACACATGAAAAGATGCTCAACATCAGTTATCATCAGGGAAATACAAATCAAAACTATTATGAGATACCACCTCACACCTGTCAGAATGGCTAAAATTAACACAGGAAACAGCAGATGTTGGTGAGAATGTGGAGAAAGGGGAACCCTCTTGCACTGCTGGTGGGAATTCAAACTGGTACAGCTCCTCTGGAAAAGAGTATGGAGGTTCCCCAAAAAATTAAAAATAGAACTACCTTATGACTCACCAATTGCACTACTAGGTATTTATCTAAAGGATAAAAAAATGCTATTTTTGAGGCGCACATGCACCCCAATGTTTTTAGCAGCACTGTTGACAATAGCCAAATTATGGAAAGAGCTCAAATGTCCATTGACTGACAAATGGATAAAGAAAATGTGGTGTGTGTATATATACACATATATATGTATGTATATATACACACACATATGTATAATGGAATATTACTCATCAATAAAAAAGAATGAAATCTTGCTATTTGCAACAGTGTGGATAGAACTAGACTATATTATGCTAAGCGAATAATTCAGTCCGAGAAAGACAAATACCATACAAATACTTATATGTGGAATTTAAGTAACAAAAGAGATGAACATAGGGGAAAGGAAACAAACATAAGATAAAAACAGAGAGGGAAACAAATCATAAGAGATTCTTAAAATACAGAGAACAAACTAAGGGTTGCTGGAGGGGTGTTGGGTGGGGATAAGGGCTAAATGGGTGATGGGTATTAAGAAGGGCATTTGTTGGGATGAGCACTGGGTGTTATATGTAAGTGATGAATCACTAAACTCTATTCTTAAAATTATTATTATACTGTATGTTACCTAATTTAGAAAGTTATAGAAGACTTAATAACCTGGTCAAAAGAAAAAAAAAAGAACATATGAAAAAAAAAGAGCTTGGGATTTGATATCTTGTAAGAATAACACCTATTAAAACCATCACAATTAAAATCATGAGAAGGCATTTTAAAACAATGGGCAAAGGACTTGAATATATCCAAGAAAATTGGAACCACAGGCCCAGACAAAAACTTGTACACGAATGTTCAGAGCAGCATTATTCCTGATGCCAAAAAAGTGGAAGCAACCCAAATGTCCGTCAAATGATGGATACACAAAATGTGGTATGACCACACAATGGAATATTTGGCCATAAAAAGGATTGAAGTATTAGATCAACATGGATGAATCTTATTAAATTATTTAATTTTTGCAAGTAATCTGTACACCATACATAGGACTTGAACTCAGGACCCTGATATCAAGAGTCACATGCTCTACCAATTGAGCCACTCAGGCACCCCAACATCGATCTTGAAAGCACGCTAAGATCTCCTATTGTAGGATTCCATTTATATGGAAATGTTCAGAATAATAAGTCCATAGAGAAAGTAGATTAGTGGTTGCTAGGGGCTGGGGAAAGAGATTGGGGGGTGACTGCTACTGGGTATTGGGTTTTTTGCGGGTGAAAATGTTCTCAAATTGGGATGCCTGAGTGGCTTCAGTCCGTTAAGCATCCAACTTTGGCTCAAGTCATGACCTCATGGTTTCTGAGTTTGAGCCCTGCATCAGGCTCTCTGCTGTCAGTGTGGAGCCTGCTTCAGATCCTGCCTTTCTCTCTGTCCTTCCCCCACTTGTGCATGTGCTTGGGCGCTCGCTCAAAAAGAAACATTAAAAAAATGTTCTGCAATCAGTGGTGATGGTTGCCCAATTAAATACCAGAACCACTGAATTAATAGTATGTGAATTTCATTTTTTATTTATTTATTTATTTTTTAATTTTTTTTATTTCAGGAGAGAGAGAGACAGCGTGAGCAGGGGAGGGTCAGAGAGAGAGGGAGTCACAGACTGAAACAGGCTCCAGGCTCTGAGCTGACAGTCAGCACAGAGCCCGACGCGGGGCTCGAACCCACGAACCGCGAGATCATGACCTAAGCGAAAGTCGGCCGCTTAACCGACTAAGCCACCCAGGCGCCCCTGTGAATTTCATTTTTTAATATTTATAAAAACTTTTAATGCTTTATTTCTGAGTGAGAGAGATACAGGCAATGAGCAAGGGAGGGGTAGAGACAGATGGAGAGACAGAATCCAAAGCAGTTTCCAGGCTCTGAACTGTCAGCACAGATTCTGTTTTGGGGCTTGAACTTGTGAACTGTGAGGTCATGATCTGAGCAGAAGTTGGAAGCTTAACCGACTGAGCCACCCAGGTGCCCCATTAGTATGTGAATTTTAAAAGGGTTTTATAGTATGTGGATTGTATCTCAATAAAGCTGTTATTAAAAAAAAAAGCCCTGGTGTACTCAAGAAATAAAGGTCAGTGTAGTTGGAATGAGCGGTAGGAGATTCAGTGTATTCATTCTTTCATTCAAAAATATGTATTGTGTGCTTACCATATGTTCCAGACGTTATGGATACGGTATTAAATAAAACAAAAATCTTGTCCTTATGTGCTTAGCTAGCTAGCACTTTTTTTTTTTTTAATTTACATCCAAGTTAGTTAGCATATAGTGCAACAATGATTTCAGGAGTAGATTCCTTAAGCCCCTTACCCATTTTAGCCCATCCCCCCCCACAGCCCCCTCCAGCAATACTGTTTGTTCTCTATATTTAAGAGTCTCTTATGTTTTGTCCCCATCCCTAATTTTATATTATTTTTGCTTCCCTCCCCTTATGTTCATGTTTTGTATCTTAAATTCCTCATATGAGTGAAGTCATATGATTTCTTCTTTCTCTAATTTTTCTTAGCATAATACCCTCTAGTTCCATTCATGTAGTTGCAAATGGCAAGATTTTATTCTTTTGATTGCTGAGTAATACTCCATCATATGTGTGTATACATATATATATATACATACACATACATATATATATATACCACATCTTTATTCATTCATCTGTCAATGGGCACTTGGGCATTTTCCATACTTTGGCTATTGTCGATAAGCTAGTTCGAACTTATATAGCACTTATTAAATGTTAGACATTGTACTCACTACTGTGTATATTAACTGGGTTTTCATAACACCTCTATACCAGTATTATCATTTCACAAATAACACAGAGGTTAAACAACTCACTTAAGGTTCTGTGTGGGTTCAGGAGCTGGGCTTTTAATCTCCTAAGTGTTCTGCCCAAATTGCATTCCAACTGGCCCAAATGAAAGAGCTGAGCAGGCCACAGTAGGAGATTCAGAATTTATCCTTTGTGCAAAGGGATATTATCAAAAGGTTTGAGGGGCACCTGGGTGGCTCAGTCTGTTAAGCGTCTGACTCTTGATTGTGGCTCAGATCATGATCTCATGGCTCATGAGACTGGGCCCCGCATGGGGCTCCGTGCTAAGTGTGGAGCTTGCTTGGGATTCTCTATCTGTCCCCCACCACCTCTCAAAGTAAATAAACATTAAAAAAATTTTGTTTTTAAAAGGGTTCAAAGCAGGTGATAACTTATGAGGATTCCTCTGGCTGGTCCCATGAAGGACTCATATGGTATTCCAGATGGAAAGATGGGTCAGGACTTCATTTAACCAACTGAGCCACCCAGGTGCCCCTTTCTGAGGTCATTCTAAAATATGCATTTGGTTGTGTGACTCTTAGACTAAAAATCTTTTAGTAGTGTATTACTATTTAGATTCATATTCCAGGACAAGGAATCTGGAATCCTCCAGTTCCTAAACTGTCCATGCTCTATGATTGGTTCCTCAGTCCACCCAGCAAACTTCTAATTTTATAGACCAAACTGGTATTGGTGATCAGATCCTTTCCCACCCAGCAAGCCAAGTGCTTTCTTATCAGTGTTGCCACAGAATCCTGTAATGTGCCTTGAGCGGACTGTAACTGACAGAGCACCATCTTCTTTCTGCCTATGGCTCCTGTTCCCAGAAGACCTGGGACCTAGTAAGCATTGAACAAGGCAGGGCTTGGGAGCTTTACCACATCACTGAAACTGCAGGTGTGGATTTTGTCTCCTAGGTAGAGTACAGAATCAGCATTATGGAGAGTTGCAGAAGTATCTGTCCTTAGTTCGAGAAGGTTCATACATGTGCCAGGCCCTTCCCACACACAACTCAACAGGTTGATTTTTTTCCCTCTTTATTGTTAGACACAATATATAAACATGAAAAACAGAAAACAGCAGGGATCTTCTTGGGCCTCAAAAAACAGCAAGGAAGGAAGAGATCCCAGAAACATTTTTTTTAAAGTACAAGACATACTGCCTGAACCATGGGCATGGAAGGCAGGCCAGAGCCAGCAGAGAGCTGGACTAAAGCCTCCTTTCCTCTCCCCGGTGCCAGGATAACCCCAGGGAACCCTCACCAGCAGCCAGTCCACACAGGTAGAAGGCCACCCAAGAGAAAACTCTTTACCAGAGAGTCTTCCTCTCCTGGAGAGACGGGCAACACCCAGGATAACTAAAAAGTCTCTTCCCATCCTTGCTCCCTTAAGAGCTATAACTGAGGAAAAGGAAAGAAGTGTCCCATGTCACTCTGACCCTCTCCCCAGCTGCCTCCATACCTGGCATTTACCAAAGCCTTTTCTAGCTCAGAACCTGACCAGACCCACCAGGTGCCCCAAGTTTGCTGGGAAGGATGGGGAGGGGAAGAGGCTGGGTGTGACACCAAAGAGATCTTTTATTTGCAGTCGTCACTGGGGCCGTTTCTTGTTGCTTATTTGTTTGCTTGCCTGCTCTTCCAGCTGCATGGCCAGGCGCAAGGCCTTGATGACATCTGGAGGGAAGGAGTGGTGGTACGCTGGGAGTTAGTGGGTGTCTCAGAGGCCCCATTCCCTTAGGGCAGAGGCCCATCCTCCAGCCACACCCACCTCGCAGGGCTGAGAAGTGCTTGGCTTGCTGGACCAGAGCAGACTCTGCCTTGTTCACGAAGGTTTCCAGGTCATAGTCTGGCTGCTCGGTCATCTCGGAGAGCTCAAGCCAGCCTGGCCCTTGCTATAATGAGACGAGGGGACCTTGTCAGTTCAAAAATGACCAAATCAATTTAGCAAATCATTCCTGGGCCCCTACCATGTGCAATGCAGACAACCTGGGCAAGATGCCCATTCCTTCAGCCATAGCTCGTACTCTGCTTCTTGACCTCCTGCCGTAGAAATCCTCAGCTTGAATGCATCCTCTTCCTAACCCCAAACTTGTCTCTCTCCCCAGGTCAAATGAGTGTCACAGTCTGTCTTGATGCCAAGCCAGAAATGGGAACAATAACTTTATTTTTTCACCTTGCTGGTCCCCAAATCCTACCAATTCTGCCCCTTAAATGGTACCTGAGTCCTCACTCCAGTCTCATGGTGGCCATGACCACACTCCATCTAGGCACCAACATCTCTCTTGAGCTTTTTTTTTTAATGTTTATTTTTGCAAGCACATGCAGTGGGGGAGGAGCAGAGAGAGTGGGGGACACAGAATGTGAAGCAGGCTCCAGGCTCTTGAGGTGTCAGCACAGAGCCTGATGTAGGGCTCAAACCCACAGACTGTGAGATCATGACCTGAGCAGGCATTTAACCGACTGAGCCACCCAGGTGCCCCAGAACTCTTTTTTTTCCCTTAATGTTTATTTTTGTGTGCATGTACATGCAAGAGAAAGAGACAGAAAGAAAAAGAGAGAGAGAGAGAGAGAGAACGTGGATGAGGGGCAAAGAGAGAGAGACACAGGATCTGAAGTGGGCTCTGTGCTGACAGCAGCAAACCTGATGCAGGGCTCAAACTCACGAACCATGATATCATGACCTGAGCCCAAGTCAGATGCTTAACTGACTTGGTCACCCAGGTGCCCCTCTCTTAAACTCTTTACAACAATCTCTTAACTGCTTTTAACTCCTAAGTGCCTCTACTCATGCTCTCCCACATTCCCAAACAAGACTCTACACTGTAGCCACAGTGATGTACCTAAAGCTGTAATAAGACCATGTCATGTCATCTAATGTGACCATACTCTACTCCACTGCCGTCATAACCAAGTCCAGGCCTTTGGAGTGAACCATAGGTCTTTTAGCATCAGGTACCTGTTGACCTAGTCACAGATTTAATATCCATCACTTGCTTATACCTTTTGCTTTGAACAGAGTGAACTCTCTTCTTTCTGAAGATACCATGTCCCTTCACACATTTGTACCCTGAGCACTCCATGGAGGGAGGACATGCCTAAGTGCTTACTCTTCATGTTCTCTTCTCTCTCTCTCTCTTTTGTTAATGTCTTTATTTTGAGAGACAGAGACCAAGAGTGAGGAGGGGAGGGGCAGAGAGAGGGAGACACAGAATCTGAAGCAGGCTCCAGACTCTGAGCTGTCAGTACAGAGCTCAACGTGGGGCTCAAACCCAAGGACTGTGAGATCATAACCTGAGCCAAAGTCAGACACTTAACCAACTGAGCCACCCAGGTGCCCCCATGTTCCCTTTTCATTTCTGAGTGGCCCAAGCTCTTTATTTCTGCGCTGCACCCTGAACACCCCACTGGCAGAGTGCATTCTTGGGCCTCCCCTCCCCCTGCTCTCCCACAGTGGGAGTCACAGTAGCACCGACATTTACCACTTACTACACACTAACCACATGCTGGGCACTGCTTTAAAAGCATCTCTTTTAATCCTCAGAGGCAACCATCCTGCCTTGCCCACTTCAGAGATGAAGAAACTGAGGTCTAGTGGTGCTAAATGACTTTCCTAAAGAAATCAGCTTATAAATAGAAGAGTCAGGAAAGAAATAAATAGAAGAGTCAGGATTGAGCAAGTCTTACTTTAGGGCATACTATCCATACTTCATGTTTTTGGTCCTTGGTTTCAGCATAGGAGTTGGCATATAGAAAGTACTCACCAAACATTCACTGAATAAACAAGCCAAGATCTCTGCAAAGAAGTCACCCTCCAAAACCTTGATCAGGAACCTAGAGGGGAAGAAACTAGCTCCGGCTAGGAGGACGGAGGAAAGCCTGTGTAGACCCGGCTGGAGAAGAAGGTATGGTAATTCATTGCTCTAGAACAGCTAGCTGAATAGGTAGAGAATTAAGGAATGCTAAGTAGAGGTCTGCCTCTTTCCATCCCTACCTGAAGACCCATGGGAGCAAAGCCTAGGTCATGCTCAAGGAATAGTGTTGAGCACTGCTGAAGGCATATGCTGGAGTGCATATCCAGTCCATTCCTAGCCAGAACCAGCTCCTCACCTGTATTATCTCCTTGAGCTCCTCCATGGCCCTCTCCTCCAACTCCCTGATCTGAGACATGGCTTCATTAAAGCTGGACATCTGGGAAGACAGTTCCTCCTCCTCCTTGGAGAACTGAGGGACCAAAAGGAGAGGTACAACAGTATGGTCTAGTTCCCCTCAATAGGCCACATTTCCATCCTGCCTGGCCCCACCGTACAGCTTACATTGCTTGTGATCAGGGACCCATGAGAGCTGGCTTCCATCTCTTCTGTTTCCATTTGAGTTGGCTGCTCCCCAGTGGATCCACTGTTGGGGCTCAGCTCCTTGACCCTGAGGAACAAGAAGGTCTCAGTTCCCACAGGAACCTCTTTGGCACTCACAGGACTGCAGCATCACTCAGACCACGAGGCTCGGCAGCTTTTACATTGGCCACCATGACCCATCCTGGCTTCCTACCAAGGCCTGAAGGGGACTGGGACATGTCTGAACTCAGATTCACTGAGTCACAGAAGAATATACAATAGGCACTGAGGCTCCAGACTTCCTCCCTCTTCCTCTCCTCCCTCCTGCACCTGTCTCCCCATCCCACTGGCCATAGGTATTAGTACCTGTCTGCATATCTTAGTGTGTTTAAAGTATATTCGCAGGAGCTTATGCCTGGTGAGATCATCGCAATCTGCAAAAGGGGGAAACAGGCAGTTAAGGGTTGAGGATCACAGGGTGAAGGCGCTGGACTGTCTAGTACTAGAGACTGCCAGGAGTTGTCTCTTTGAGCTGCTGACACCCACACAATATTGGAACAGAGAGCTAAGCACCTAATCTGTGCCAGGCAACTTGCTCCAAGGATACTGAAAATCAAGGCACCTTAATAATTGACTGCCTGCCTTGAAAGGTGCATCTGGTACCCCTGTTGTTTTATCTCTTTATTGACTCTTCTGCCAAGGTCACATCTCAAGGCTCTGTGACTCCTGCCGAAAACGTCTATTCACCTAGGCTCAGGAGCTTAATTAGAAATTCCCACCTTCCCTAGTAGACAGGGAAGAGGAGATTCCCTGGAGGGGAAGAAAGCAGATCCTAGCTAGCAGGGCTTATAGATAAAATAAGGAAGGGGAGAAAAAGTCATTCGAAGCCATAGCCCTTTCCTATTTACTTAGTTAGGAGCTAGAGAACTTGAGGGAAACCATAGAAGAGGGAATTTTGCACTCCTGCTCTCCCACAGGCCATCCTTCTGAACTCTGGGGCCTCTTTCACCAGGTAAGGCCCCCTTTCACCCCAAACCAAGAGCTGCAAAGACATATAGTAAAGGGAACAGATCATTTCCTTCCCTCTTGAATAGGCAAAGAGGAGCCTGGTACTAAAAAGCAGTGGGGAATGCCCAGTCAAGTTTGAGTCTGGTAACCCAGGTAGCCAAGGGCACCAAGCTTTCTGCCCAGAGAGAGGATTCAAGTCTTCCTGTACCACCTCCAAAGTGACCCTACTCACCATGCAGGTCCTTGAGTTCTCCCCGATAAAGGAGTCCCTCAGCACTTGTGTCAGCTTGCTCTCTCGAAATGGGGTGTGAGCCTTGTTCTGTCCCAGGGCCCTGATGCACTCCTGTGGAGCAGCGGGAGCCACTGAGGTCCCTTTCTTCCTCTTGAGTTGCCCATTCTCTCCCTCCTTCCCTCCCTCCACCAGCAACCCTCCAGGCCAACCACCTGTCTAGACCCTGATACCTTCAGAGCCAGGAGACTCTTGTTGATTTCTGCACCTTCCATGCGGGTCTGCCGGTCAGCACTGGAAGTGTCTGCACCTCTCTCATTCCCTGCCAGATCCACCAAAGAGAACTTGCCATGCACTCTCCCTTTGGTTCGAAGAAGAATCTGGAAGCAGGCGTGGGAGCGGGAAGAGTTGGAGTTGGCAAATGTCTGCCCAGAGGTCCTGTGGCAAAGAAGGGCAAAGAAAAGCTATGAACCTCTGAAGTTACCAGCCACCGTGGAGCCCGAGAGTTCAAGCCACCCCACTCCATAGCACTGAGCTCTCTGTACAAGGGACACAGGTCAAGACTCTAAGCAGTCCTGTGTTTTCTTGTCCCAGACTTCTGTTTTGCCCTTCATGGGCAGCAGCTTCCCCTCTAGCTCCGGACCAGGCAAGTTTTCTTGGCAGTGAAAAGTACTGGATTCTGTGCTAGGTCCTTAGCCAGACCTGAGGGCCCAAAAGCACATGGGGAAGAGTTGCCTGTGTTGTAGGACACATGGGGAGGATGGGTCATCATGAACCACTTGTCAAAGCTTCAGGGCCTTGGAGAGGGCAACCCTCTTCCTGGGCCTCCATTAGCCACCCAGCACTTCACTGCACCATGCCTGGTGGAAGAGCACTTCCCTGCCTCTATCTAGGAGCTATGGCCCCATCCCTTCCAGCTTAAAATAGACCCAGAGCTCGTCTCCTACCACAGAGGGAGGAGACAGCAAGAAGAAACCTAGAGAAGCCAGGAAGGATGTTCTGGGATAAGGACCTGGAAATAAAGTCTACCTTGGTTAGATTTAAAACACTATGACTCGCTCCTGATGATCCTCTGGCCCTGGGTCATCTGCCCTATTGAGAGTCCTTATGGCAGAGGCCCTCACAGCCCTCACCAAGCTGCAGAGAGTGGCACTCTGGAAACAGCAACAGGCTCAGAGCGAGGTCTATCAGCTGAACCGGGCATTAGGTGGCCCCTTCCTCCCCTCACCAGAACTGACCTGCAGGCACTGCCTATGTCGATCATCTTGATGACATCGTCAGCACAGCTGACCAGGTGCTCCTGTAGCCCCACCACCTGCACCTGCTGCTTGCCGTCCTCCAGCACTCGCAGCTTAGCTTTCTTGTTGAGCAGGTCAAACAGCTGGCAGGGAAACAAGGCTAAGGCCATTAGGTGCCGGGCATCCCACTTACCCCCCCCGCCCCTTCAGGGCCAGTCCCAGCTTAGATAAGAGCTGGCAGCAGGGAAGCCAGAGAGAAGCTAAGCTGGGTGGTGGGCAGTACAAATGAAAGCTGAATGAGGCTGCCTCAGTCTGATAGGACTCTGCTACTTTGCCAGCTGTGGGAGCCTGGACCAGTACTTAACCACTCCAGGCTTATTCCTCATCTGCAGAATAATGATGGGAATACTTCCTCGATAAGTTGTTATAATGACTGAATGAGTTGAGACAAGTGCTTAGCACATGATACTACACCAATAATCAACATTAGCTATTATCATCATCATCAAGATCCTGCTCTGAGGAAGGCAACTCTGCAAAGTAGAGTATAGAAGTACAGGTAGGAGGTAAGGAGTATAAGGGGTGGGGGAGACAGTGAAGAAAGAATACAATATGAGAATGAATGTACACAATCAGGGGAAGAGTAGAAAGGTTATAAAGGAGGTGGGTCAAGGGAGGACAGGGCACACACGAGGCAAACCTCCCATGTGAGACGGAGCCGCAAGGAGTGTTCCTGCCATACATGCTGAGCTTGGGCACCATCCCACCATCAGAGGAAACCTTCCACACATGTCAGGGCAGAACAGCCCATTAAAGGCTTGATGGCCCACAGGTTGTTTGGTTTCTGCAATTTCTAGCCAACCTCAAGGTTTTAGAAAGTTAAGGGGTCCAGACAGTAAAAACAGGGGCTCCCTGCCAGCTAGCTACCTTCCCATTATAGATTTCGAAGAAGGTCACATAGACTTCCAGGCCCAGGTTCCGGTAGCGAGGCTGATTCTTCAGGAGGAAGACATCTCGGGCTATGGGAGAGAGCCTGGATTAAGTAAGCAACCTGTCTTTCTGTGACCAACCCAAGAGGGGCAGAACACGCTACTCACAGGCCATGGCATAGATCCCTTTGGATGCATTCTGGGCTTTCCCAGAGAGGTCTCCACCCATAGTCTGCAAAGGGAAGGGACAGAAGACCGTGGTAAAGGGCCCTGGGCCTAGGCCAGAGCACTAGTGGCTCCACTGCCACAGCGGGCCACCACATCAAAGCTGAGAAGCTGCACCTGCTAAGGCATCTGGCACAGCAAGAGTATCTGGTGATAAGGCATCTGTACCAAGGGGACTTCTGCAAGCAACTTACTTGCTTCCTTCTCAGGGACCCAAAGTGACACCACAGGCTGGTTTGCTCCCTGCCAGGCCTGCATACTTACATGTGTCTTGCCACTTCCTGTCTGGCCATATGCAAAACAGGTTGCTTTTCCCCCTTCAAAGATTGTCTGGACCAGTGGCCTTGCTGTGAACCTAGGAGAAAGGATAGGAAAGAGTATACATCTCTCCCCAAAATGTGCTCCCAAGAATGTGGTCCTGCTGCCCTTCCACTGCAGAATTACCGTGGTCTTTGATTCCTCCTTCCAAACACTAGCACTTCTCTCCTGCAAAGTGGTCCCAGTGGATCCCAGCCCCACTTACAAATCTGAAATTCTCCCAGCCAACTGGGGAGGGCTGGACTGACCTGCCAAGAGTAAGCTGGTGGCCTACACTCTGAGCCACTAGCCCTTTGTCTGACCCTGAAGACCCAAGATGAAACCCAGAGCTTAGTAGCTGACTGCCAGCATAAGAAACATTACAAAGACAAAGATCAGAGGAAACCCTCTAAAGTAGGAGCCTAAAACATTTTAGGACACATAGGTCTCTCACTTTTTTTTTTTTTCCAATGTTTTATTTATTTTTGAGAGAGAGAGAGAGAGAGAGAGAGAGATAGCATGAGCAGGGGAGGGTCAGAGAGAGAGAGGGAGATACAGAATCCAAAGACAGGTGACAGGCTCTGAGCTGTCAGCACAGAGCCTGACGCAGGACTCGAACCCATGAACTGTGAGATCATGACCTGAGCCGAAGTCAGACGCTTAACTGACTGAGCCACCCAGGCGCCCATCACTTTTTTTTTTAAGAGTTTATTTTTAAGTAATCTCTACACCCAAATGGGGCTAAAACTCACAACCCTGAGATCAAGAGTTGCACCCTCCATTGACTGAGCCAGCCAGATACCACACTGTCAGATTTTTTTTTTAAAAATGTTTATTTTAGAGAGAGAGAAAGAGAGAGACAGCAGGCATGCAAGTCAGGGAGGGGCAGAGAGAGGGGGGACAAAGGATCCAAAGCAGGCTCCATGCTGACAGCAGAGAGCCCAACATGGGGTTGAACCCAGAAACTGTGAGATCATGACCTGAGCTGAGGTCAGACACTTAACCGAGTGAGGCACTCAGATGCTCCCTACTGTCACGTTTTTAAAAATGATCCTTCAGGGGCGCCTGGGTGGCTTAGTCGGTTAAGCGTCCAACTTTCGCTTAGGTCATGATCTCGCGGTTCGTGGGTTCGAGCCCCGCATCGGTCTCTGTGCTGACTGCCAGCTCAGAGCCTGGAGCCTGTTTCAGTCTGTGACTCCCTTTCTCTCTGACCCTCCCCTGCTCACGCTCTCTCTCTCTCTCTCTCTCTCCTAAAAATAAATAAAAAATATTAAAAAAAAAATAAAAATGATCCTTCAGGGGCGCTTGGGTGGGTCAGTCAGTTAAGCGTCCAACTTCAGCTCAGGTCATGATCTCACAGTCCCTGGGTTCGAGCCCTGCGTCAGGCTCTGTGCTGACAGCTCAGAGTCTGGAGCCTGCTTCAGATTCTGTGTCTCCTTCTCTCTCTGCCCTTCCCCTGCTCACTCTCTGTCTCGGTCTCTCAAAAATAAAATAAAGACATTAAGTAAAAAATTAAAAAATAAATAAAAATAAATAAAAATGATCCTTTAAAAACATAGAAAACTATTATTCATTCTTATTTTGAGAACCCAAAAAAAGGAACTGCAAACCAAATTTAGCCTACGGGCTACAGTTTGTCAACCTCTGGTCCAGAACAGTGTTGTTTATAGAACTTTCTGTGATGATAGACATGTTCTTTACCATGCTAATAGCAGCCACTACCACACGTGGCTATCAAGCCCTTAAAATGTGGCTAGTGTGACTAATGAATTGAATTCTGGGACGCTTGGGTGGCTCAGTCAGCTAAGCGTCTGACTTCATCTCAGGTCATGATCTTACTGTTTGTAAGTTCAAGCCCTGTGTCGGGCTCTGTGCTGAGAGCTCAGAGCCTGGAGCCTGCTTTGGATTCTGTGTCTCCCTCTGTCTCTGCCCCTCCCCTGCTCGCATGCGTGCTCTCTCTCAAAAATAAATAAACATTAAAAATTTTTTTTTGTTTTTATATTTTTATTTATTTATTTATAGGAGAGAGAGAGAGACAGCGTGAGCAGGGGAGGGTCAGAGAGAGAGGGAGTCACAGACTGAAACAGGCTCCAGGCTCTGAGCTGGCAGTCAGCACAGACCCTGATGCGGG